CTCACATTGTGGGAGGGATAGCTCAGTGGTTGGAGCATTGGCCTGCTAAACCCAGGGTTGTGAGTTCAATCCTTGAGGGGGCCATTTAGGGATCTGGGGCAAAAACTGGGGATTGGTCCTGCTTTGAGCAGGGGGTTGGACTAGATGATCTCCTGAGGTCCCTTCCAACCCTGATATTCTATGATTACCTGGTGGGGAGGGGCAGCTGTGTCCTCCTCCCGCTGGGCCAGAGATTTCTGCTGTACGGACCCCAGGCAGGAGGACTTGAGAGACACAGCTGTGTGGAAGGGCTGGTGGTACAGCCGCTGCACCAGAGGAGCTGCTAGCATGGAGCTGCCCGGCAGGGAAAGGAGCAGAACGTCAGGCCGCCAGGCAGCCCCATGCCAGCAGCTCCTCCGGTGTGGCTGTTGTACTGGCCCTAGCCCTGTCCTCTGTCAGGGCTGCTGTAGAGACCCCAGGCAGGAGGACTCAGGAAATGTGGCTGTGTGGAAGGGCTGGGGGTGGGGCTGGGGAGTGGCTCCTCCTGTGTCTTTCAGATATGCCATACCAGCTATAAATATCTTACTAGTACAGCATACTGGGTCATACCACCATACCTGCACCACTGGTTAGCTGAGGCAAATCACTTAACACTTTGGCCTCTATGTCCCCATTGGTAAAATGGGGCTAATAATACTTTACTTGTAGGTGTAATAGGCTTTTGTGATCTTGGGTTGAAAGTTGCTTGCTAAAGCACAATGTTGTGGGGATAGCTACCTCTCAGGTAGTTAAGTACATTCTCCTCCCCCCCCCACACCCCCTTTCCTTTACATGGAAAACCTTTTTACAGCTTTTGGGGAGGTAGAAATTCACCCACAAATCACTCCAGCTCCTTTTCGCAGTAAACAAAAAACCCCCTATAAGCAACACTCACCTTTATCAGCAAACAAATTGTCCCTCAGCCTCTTTACTATCAGTCTCTTAGTAATGGATCAGAGCACCTCTTTCCCTTTGGGTTCTGACTGATTATCGTCCTGATTAGAGTGACCTAGGCCCATAGTGTCTATACAGACAAGCTGTTCCCTGGGTTCAATCTCCCAGCCTGCTGCATTCTTGCAGCAACACATGCAGCTCGCACAGTTCCTTCTCAAACGGCGGCATCCTCCTATTTGAAGGGCTGGATTTTCCTCCTGCTCCTGGGACTATTAGGACTTCGGGGTCAGTGTTCCTTTCACAGTGCTGATGTGTAGAATGGGAGCGCCACAACAGAAACATTGTCTAGTTCCACAGAGGTATTTAGGTGCCGACCTCCTATTGTATGGAGAGGTGGGCCCTGAAATACCTTGTAGGGTTTGGGCCTTTGCGGCTGTCTCAGAACCTTATATTGTCTCTGCACGGTGTGCCATGGTGACTTGGCACTTCCCGGGGAGAATGCGGGGCAAAAAGACACTTCTGCTCAAAAAGGACAACCCGCTGCCACTTGAGTTAGAGAGCAACCCATACAGCTCTAGCAGCCTCCGGCCCTCTGTGGCAAGGGAGAGGTACAGATTCGGAGTCCATTTGGAAGGAGACAGTGCTTCGTACATACACGCACGGTTTGTAGCACTGTGATGCTTTTGCCAGGCCTAAAAGGTTTTAAGATTTCTTTATGATCAGTACCCATTGAAGTGCCTTCTCTTCATGTAATGGAGCAGCTGAAAGCAGTGAGAAATTATACATGTAAGCAGGGTCTGAATGAGCTTTCCCCTGACATCTAATGATGAACCGGAGGGAAAGACTTCAAGAGCAGAAAGTATTTGCATAGACACACCCAGTCTTCCTAGGTGTTCAGCAGACAGACCAGCTTTGCCAAAGTGATCAATTTTGGCTGGTTTTGGGTTACAATTCACTTTACTACTGAATGCAGGGGTAATGAAATGTTATCCTTATTGTATGAGTAAACAGCAGCAGGACTGTACTTAGCACACCCTGACTGAGGGGGTCACCCTGCTCTGAACCTCACTTGCTAAGCAGGGGGCAGGGATGCCAACTCCCAGTGAAAGAGAGAGGGTGGGAACTCTGCTTGTAGAGTCTTTGATGCCATTTGACCCTCCCTTCTCGAGTGTTTAAAGACTGAGCTGATTAGACTTAATTGAAAGGCCTTGTTTCTGTTCGGTGGCTACCAGAGCCAAAATTACTGACGAGCAGGTTTAGGGGCTAAGCCTTATGCCTGGTGTGGGGACAGTGCTGCAGGGAAAAACAACACAGACTGCGCTAGCAGTGAGGTTCCCCCACTACCCAGTGAAATTGCTATGAGCTGGAATCACTAAGATGTGGGCTGATTTGTGGGACCTGAGGATGCAGCATCACAGAAGTGGCAGCGAGTGGCCAGCAATGGCAGAGAAAACGGCACACCCGTGGCCAACGACAGAGGCAGTGGCAACGATGACAGCAGCAGCTGAGGCATTGCTTGTCCCTTCCTCCAACCTTTTCAGCGGTGGGAGGTGAACCTACACGAATGCAGCTCTGAATTCTGAGCCCCCAAATGAATGCTGGGCTCCCTTTCCCTTTTGTATGAAAGTTTTACTTTGTTCTACACAGACTCAGTGTTTGCGAGAGGGGAAGCAGAGCCTTTTTGAGGAGCCCAGGTGTTGTGGTGAATTTTCCCAAATTATCGGGTGAGGGCTTGAGCCAGCTAAAAGGAACCCCTAGATATTTAACCTGGCCCTTGTTGTTGCCGACACCACCTGGCAAAGGAGTTACATACACATTGGTCCTGCCAGTGAACCTACTGTTCACCAATTTCCCAAATGGAAAATGACTTTCCAGTTGCTCAAATAGATTTGTAGGTGGAAAATAGTAAATGCACATTTGACAACTTATGAATTTGCATATTTTAAAATGAACTACACCTATAAGTTTATTCAGTGGCTTTTTATTGCTGGCTTTTGCATTGGGCTACACGGGGATGATAAATTAAGAGGTGTCACTGGGGATGTAACTCCTGCTTAAATGTACAGTGCTTTAAGTGTAAATGTCTTGTTGAACTAACAAACTAGGTCAACATTTCTGAGCTTTTGAAACTTTTCAGAAAAATGAAGCCAGTTTCTCCCCATTTGCACCCCTGCCCTGTGGTGTTAAAGGCTTACCTATCTAAATGTCTACATCGGCGCCATGGCAGCTCCATTGCAGATACAGATTTCAGTCGGCGCCCACTCCACACATCAGGAAAGGCTGCATTATTGGATGAAAATGTTCCTCCAGTATTTCACAGGAGAGTCAGGTCTGAGTCTCGTTGAAGGGCTCTTGCACTTTTGAAGCCATGCTGAGGAGATACTGTTGAAGCAGGTTTATTTTCAGTTGGATGAGATGCCTTGGGATCCTCCCTGCTACCCCTGTACTTGATCCAGCAGCATGGCAAGAGCACATGTGGGTTCGGAACTGAGATCAGAACTTTCACTGTCCTGGAGACACAGGGCTCGGGTCTTCAGTGCTGCAGCTGAGGGTTGAGACAGCAGCTCTGAGTTACCCCTCAGCTGCTAAGCAACTCTTTTGACTCATGATGTAAATTGAGAAGAGCAAGTGCTGGAGGGTCAGCACTGTGCCCAGCAATTGCCATGTGGCATTCAGCGGCTGGCTGGGAGAAATGCTGTTTTCGGAGAATCCCCAGATGTTTTTCTCTGTGAGCGGCTGTCCTTTTATGGCTGCTCTGAAGTGCACTCAAGTCAGGAAGTACTCTGACTGGCAACAGGAGGAGCTGAAAAACTTTAGCAGTGCTATTACAGATGCCATTTGTATTCACATTAAAGTTCCTCTGACCTGGCCACATACTGCGTCTACCTCTCAATACTCACTTTTCCCCCTACTCAGCAGTGCTCATGTCAGTGTGGAAATAGAGCTACTTTGTACGAAGGCTGTGGCTCTCTGCACATCCTTAAGCAGTGCTCAACAGCCTCTAGGCTCCAAGATAATCGGCAGCCTACAGGACCATTAGCAATACAGCAATCTTAGCAGCTCTGCTGTATCTCTGTTGACATCAACAGACTTAAACCAGGAATGAGTTTAGTCTGGAGCCTATAAGTTTCTTGGAGGTAGGTAAATGCATGACACACACAACCCTTATATGGGCAAGAAAAGTGTGGAGAGTCCATATAGGTGGCTGGAGCTCCTGCATGCTGCTGGGTTGTACTTCACAGGACCTCCCTTTACTCCAAGGCGTGGGGAGAAGAAATGGCCTAGCTGATGGCTATCCATCCATCTTGATTCACCATGTGAATCCCACAATTTGTAGGCCTGAACTGCCAGAGCTGGCCATGTAGTAGCTCTGCTTCCACTCCATGTCATGGGGAGAATTTAATCCTCCTCCCACTGCTGATAGTACCTAGCTCTTATCTGGTGCTTTTCACCAACAGATCTCAAAGTGATTTACAAAGGAGATATTGCTGTCCCCATTTTACAGATGGGAACTTAAGTCACATTACCTCCCTGTGACTCACCCAAGGGTCACCCAGCAGGCTAGTAGCAGAGCCAGGAATAGAACACAGTCCCAGTCCAGTTCTCTATCCACTAGGCCATGCCACCTCCTCCAGACACCCTGCTCGGGCTACTTGAACTGTGATGTTCTAGGATCAAATACACAATTTCCCCACTGATTGTGACCATTGGAATAGGGTGTGGGAAATTCTTCCAGTGGAAAAGGCGTGTTACATTAAGAAAGAGGACAAAGGTGCAGATATTGACCAGAGCTTGCTGTCCCTCATTGACCACTTAAAAGAAAACTGTGAATAAAGAACCACAACCATGGCCTACATAATAATAGCTCAAAAACAATTAGTGCATTGGTTGTGTAGACAGACCATACCAGGAAATGAATTGTAACTTGAATGGCAAAGCATTACCTGTAACATACACTCACTGCTCACCATACATTAATATTGTTATTTGATATGTGGGTTTCTGTTAATATTTTATCTACTCTATACATTAATATTCAGTTAAAAAAATCTATCAAATAGCCAGTTAGTAACTTCTAGTCCACTGTACAAGTTTTGCCATGTAATTTTTATGGTATTGTCATTGATTTACCATACAAGGTATACATTGCCTCTAAATATTTATTAATTAATTGAATGCTTGTGAATGTTGCTGGATCAATAGCTTTGGAAACTGAAGAAGTTTCAGGTACAGCAGAAGTAGCTATGTTGTAAGATTCCTTGCAGCCAGTGTTCCTCAGCCCTCTTAAAGAGGTAAGCATGTTGGACATTAAAAGGATAATTGAATTCAGTCTGCCAGGCTACACAGTCGTTGACCTCTCTGCTGAGATTGTCAAGGACTCAATAAAGGACAGATTGATGTTAGTAGCGTTGGAGCTTTGTACGGGTGGATACCTGACTAGTAGGAACAACCATGAGAACACCCAGTTTTTACACTCAGACCATCTGTTTTGTGTCACATTCTTTAGGTACTTAGTTCTATTTGTTTGAACTATATCGAACGTAATTGTCTGTGATGCACTATGAGACATTTTGTATGAATTAAGTTGTAAATAACTGTTACCACATAATATAGCGAAAACATTATTGTGTACGATTATCTCATTCTCCAACAAGGATTTTTAATCTTAACAGCACCTCCTAACAGGCTAGGTTTGAATTAAAAGCACTTACCAAAAGAAAACATGCAGATTAAAAGATCAGCTACCCAACTAGTTCATATTCTACCAACTTTGGAAAAAGAACGTTGACACTAAAAATTCAATAATACATACCAGTATAAATTACAAATGTTGCACTTTTAGGAAGCTTCTTTGCTGATAGCAGTGTGCTTTGTAATAGTTAAGGTTTCAAAGTTGATGGCTCTTATGAGGTTCTAATTTTTGGTATTAGAGCAAACTCACAGGTTATAACAAAGGAGAAAATTACAAATATGGGTACTGAACTTATACTGTACATGCAAGAGCCGTTTGGATTCAATTTTAGGATCTATGGATTTGATTGTTCACTTTTATGCTCGTGTAACTTTACCTCAGTCACTGATATTCCACCAGAGTAAAGCTGGGGTAATGAAATACAGAATCAGGACACAAGCACACACTAAAATCTTTAGCCAAATTTTCACAACCATGGGGAAAAATGGGGGTGGTGTAGAAGCTGGCCTACTTCTGTCTGGTGCTGTCCTTCTGTGGGGTAGACCTACAGCAGCTCTCTTCTTACAAGAGAAGCCTGTCATTAGTTAGTGGGTATCCCACACTGTCCCACCCTGTTACGTGGTGTTAGCTATAATGGCTAGCTGGCATCCCTTGTGGCCACTGTTAGAGATGGCCAAAAAAATGTGTCTTCAATGGGATCTGCATGGTAGGTCTAGATAATACAAGATATTTCTTCCAACCCTAACCACAAGTCTATTTACTTTCATCTTTTCCAATGCTAGCCATGACCTCCATGAGTTACAGATAAGCATTTGGTACTAGCTTAAATGCAGTGCATGCTTTCAAAAATTATTTATAAAAACAAATGGGCTTTGTTATACCATTTTGAATGATCTGGAATTATTTACAAAAGTTTTGGAGATCTCAATAATCTTAAATAAGGGTTTTTTCTCCATCCTTTTCATCATCTTCCACAATCACTGTCTGCTTTTCTTCTTTAAGCATGTTAGTACCTTAAACAGGAAAAAAAATTAAAACAAAACAAACAATACTAGTCATGTTAACATATTCATTGTTTACAAGGGCCTAATTTTCTATCCTTTCCAATTGTTTCGACACTAGCAAGGCTCTGCTGATTTCAGTGGAGTTGCTTCTGATTAAATTTGGATAATCAGGCCCCTAATATTTAGTAAACCTGAAACTCATGTCTGTATTTGCACTTTCCAATTAAAATTATTGGACATTCTCACACACTGCTGATACCTGCTCAAATAACTAGCACAGTGTGGTTTATTCTCGGAAATCTACTGGACTGTTTATTACTTAGATTTTGCAAATACAGGTTCCAGAATGGGCAAATGTTGAAAGACTTAACAGCCAGCTCCCACACATCCAATATCATCCCCACTGAAACAAATCTAATGGCAACATGTTGCAAATGTAAATAAAAATATGAACTTGGATCAATGCTGAACAGGCTCCCATGCATTACTAAAGACATTTGTATCAGCACAAGCAATACTGAACTTCGTGAATTGAACATGCATCAAAGAAGATCTGTCTAAATAAATACTAAGGATAATTAAGAAAACCAAACACCTATTGCCAAGGCCCTGGAGAACTGTACAGCATAATACAGAGAGGAAGGATGATCTTGTGGTTAAAGCACAGGACTGGGATTCAAGAGATTTGGGTTCAATGAGCCACAGAACTCCTATGTGACCTATCATTTAATGTGTCTGCCCCTGTTTGTGAGCTCCCACCTTTTGTCTGTCTAGTGTGTTTAGAATGTAAGAACCTAGTGCCTAGAACAAGGAAGCCCTACTACTGACTGGGGCCTCTATGCACTACAGTGATGCAAATAAGTAAAAAAATATAATTAAAAAATGATGCCCCTAAAATGAAATGTTAAAATCAACCAATGGGATCCAACAGGCAAAGGTTCTACTCAATCCTTATTTGAGCTGAACTGGTTTGTTTTGCCCGTTCCGATTAAAAAAACAATTAACAGCCTCCGCAGTATGTTTTATTTCTACTGTCTTTAGCATGGTGGCTAAAATATTCCATAAACAGGGTGAGGGAAACCCGGACTTGAAGCCAAGCAAATCGCTTTAAGTCAGTCGCCTCCTGTTTTGCTGTCAGTGCATTCCAACGTGCCAAGTTGTTCTGTCAAACCAACACATCTTCTTTCTTTCTGTGTTGAAAGTCCTCTCATAATGAAGCAGTTCATGAAGTCTGAAAATAGAGCAAAGGAAGCCATGTCCCACACAGGAAGGCTTTCTTCAATTCTGGACTCTCTTCTAGAGGTGAGGAATTAAGGACAGAGATGACTGACCTAAATTACTATTTTGAATTCAGGTCTGGTTTTCTTTGTATGGGGTTTTTTACCAATTAGCTGATTTTACTGGGGGAGGGAAACCATTTCAAAGGCTTGGATGACACTTCAAAGGTAAGTCTGAAACACAATGATGTGTCCTTCAAACAGCCATTGAGTGGCTGTTACTGGAAACTGGTAACAGGGATGCTATTTTAAGGTGATGGAGCCAGAGAAATGTTCCACACCCAGGTTTCAACTCAGCCCCCTAGCAAACAAATTTCCAGAGCAAAAATACAGACATTGATTTTTATCCCTTTATCTCTGCATCTTTTCCAAAATGCTCCATGCCTGCAATGGAGGCTTATAATGTATAGCAAACAAAACTAAAGTTTAGAGCTATGATCTATAATCCTATCTTCAATGCTTCTTGGTTCTTATCTGAGTTACCAAATAATGAGGAAAAAGCAAATGGGCTCCTAGCTAGACTCTAGGAGCATCAAAATTACCCCCTGCTTGAAGCAATTCCACCTGCCACAACTAATTTTAGCAGAAATTGTCTTCAAGGACCAGGGAGCTAGGCACAGCTGGAGGGCAGCAACAGAAATCAGCAGCCCAGCTATAAGGAGGAGTTGTCATTCAATAATAGTAAATCACATGCTCATCAGAATAGAGTGTAATGGCGACTGAGAGTGGTCACAAGATATAATCCTGGCAGGATTCCTGAAGCTGGTGCAGTGTGGTATGTAGATCAAAAGCAAAAGCTAGCGTGGTCTAGATTGAATGTGCAGAGCAGTGGGATTAGTAACACCTGTGTGCTAATCCTGGCTCTGCTTACTGATTTAGTGTCTGGGCAGTTCACTGAGCCTCTCTGCCTCAGCTTTCCCATCTGTAAAATGGGCATCATAACATTCAGCATAGCTTCATAGAGATGTTTTAAGGATTAATAGATTATCTATCATTAATGTCTGCCAGCAGCTTTGAATTATAAAGCAGTGTCTAAATAAATAAAGTAGGAGTAGTAGTTTGCAATAGAACCTAGTGCTGATGAGAAATCTGTAGCCCAACACTCGGCTATCAAAGGCTTCAGACTCTAAGGTCCATGTCAGAGCTGTGCTGAGTACAGTTTAGCAAGGGCAGGTAGAGGATCTGTTGCCAATGTGGTCCTTGGTGCCCCTTAGAGCTTCCTCTGGGTGACTCTAGGTTATATTTAACTGTCTATCAATCACAGGGCAATTCCTGTCAAACTGAGGCTGGAGAGGGGATGGTGTAGAGCTGCTTTGCTGGTGCTACAACATGCAGAGACTTCCTCGGTGTAAGGGAAATCCTGAGGGAGTCAGTTAAACTGGCTTAGCAAAGGAGAGGAAGAGGGCTTGAAAGCGTGGTTTTCTAATGATCTCAGATATCCATTTGTCAGGAACAGCTTTGCCATGTTCTCCCAAATAGTTACATTCTTGTCAAACCCTGCATTTGCAGAGGGCTCTTCAGAAATTAAGTTATTTGAATATGCTGCTAAGTGAGGCTAGTAATAAAAGGTGTTTCAAATCTGATGCTGATCATTTACAGTCAGGGCGGAGGGGGAAGCTATATTAGAATTGTGGTTACATTGGCCCAGATCCTTGAAGGTACTGAGGTGCCAAACTCCCACTGATGGAGATCGGGGCCATTTCCCCTCCTTTATTCCATCAGAAGTCCAAGATGTGGGATGATTTGATTTTTTTGCCATTCAAATAGCTTTTGTTTTTCTAAAGTGATGTATGTCTATAGATGTCACATGCTTGCATTTGAAAAACAACAACTAATGGGGCAAGTTTTGTACCTGTTAATTATTTTTTAATGTCACTTACTAATGATGAACTTACATTTATCCATAGCATACTGGGGAAAAGAGAGATTTTTAAATGCAAGCATTGTTCCAGTAAGATTTGCATCTTGAATGCCACTGTAATTTATCAAATACTTTGGGTTACTTATTGCAACACACATGATCCCCTATCCATGAGTAGATTGGCTGCACATGTATCTCTAACTACAAGGTTAAGATAAAATGAGGCAGGAATGGCAAATTTACTGGGACTCAGAATCCCTTTGAATGCATCTCCTATTCTGGAGAGGAAGGGTGGTCCTCTGCTATAGGCACGAGACTGGGACTCAGGAGACTGGGTTGAATTCCCAGCTCTGCCAGTGACTTCCTATGTGACCTCAGGCAAGTCATTTAATCTCTCTCTGACTCAGTTCCTCATCTGTAACATGGAGGTAAGAATATTTCCTTTCCCCTTCACGTTTACCATGTAGCTTGTAAAGTCCTTGAGGCAGGGACTCTCTCACAGTACCTAGGACAATTGGCCCTGATCTTCATTGGGATGTTTTGATGTATTAGAAGTAATAATTCTGGACATTCTTGTGTTTTTGCATAGCTTGCTGGTATTGATAGTTGTGCTCTAGACTGAGCACTGGAGAGAGAACCAGGAGTCCTATTCCCTCTTTGGGGACTCGCTGTAGCCTTGGGCAAGACTCTTAACCTCTGTGTGCCTCAGTTTCCAATCTGTAAATACTTGTGTACCTCATGGAGTGTTCTGAAGATTAGTCCATGTTTGTTAAGTGTTTGGAAGATGTAAAGTAGTATGGACTTGATTCTGTCCCCCTCATTCCAGGAGCAATCCCATTGATTTCAGGGAGAAGTGTGACGGAGACAGTCCCTGGAGAGTCTCTGGCCACCCAAAAGTGGATAGGTCTGATCTCGAGTGATCAAGGACAGCTAATCAAAAATGGAGGGAGGAGCCAAGGGGCGACATTTTCAGCTCTGTCTATGGGAGAAATGTTTGTGAAGACAGCTTTTAAAATATTGGTTAATTAAGCTAAAATAGGTAGTGTTGGTTTGTAGTTTTGGTAATGCTTGAAGCGTTGGCCTTTAGTAGCAACTAGGGAGGAAAATAAAAACTCAGACTGGAACACCCAACAGTGCAAGTTATTGAGAGAGCACTGAACATGGAGTGTGCTACTTAGGCTGCACATCCAGCAACTGCAATAATAGAGGAGTAGGGACAGAAAGGCCCTTTTATGTTTATTTGCTGCAAATAACCCTGCTGGGGCATCTCGGGTTTGAGCCTATAATTGAGATTTTGGTTTGCTCAGCTGTTCTACAAGACCTCATTTTATTTATTCTCTCCTTGCTGCCTTACCCTAAAAGTAAATAAATTGTAAATACTGGACTAGTCCACAGCAAGGCACTCTCTTCCTGCAAGCCATGCACCACTGCAGCCTACGTCTAAATATCAGCTTTCTGTCCTCCAGTATCCAGCCTGAAAAGAAAATATGCTTCTTTGAAAGGGGAGACATTCAAACCCAGGCACACAAGCCACTCCACCCGTGTCACACGCACAGAATATGCCATAGGGATGATAAGATGGGACATGAGGAGAACTGTACGCATAGAGAGGCAGCTGGGATGGTAATGCTGTATCTAGGGAGAGGCAGTAATGAGCAGGCCAGTGGGATTGAATTCATAGGGGATTAAGGGGGCCTGCTCATTCACCACTTTGTTAGTCCAGTTTCATGAAATGAAAATCAGCTGAGTCCTGCTGACGTAAAACGTCAGTACTAAATCAAGCCTGAGGTGTGTGTCATTTTTTATCAGCGGCCACATTCCTTAGAAATTGGACACATGCACTGATTTTTGTTACAGAGCTTAAAGCCACTGCATTTTTCTTTGTTTTACTTTATTCCCTTTTGGTGTTTCTTGGCTGGCAAATCCTCTGGAGATTATAATAAAATAAAATCCTCTATAACTTCCATTAACTTCCTCTATCCTTTGCAAATTCTATCAGAATGAAAAAAGTACTCTTCTGGGGGTAGAAACGGTAAAGATCTTTGAACAGCCACTAGGGGCCCTCTTTCTCACTTAAATGCTCGCTAGAGATTGCGAATGCTAGAGAGGTACATGTTAAACTAAATGAATTTGGATGACAAATGTTAAGTCAGCCGTAGCTGCATCCTGCTATAGCAGAGATTATATTTAATATAGTGCTCATAAAAAGAAGTACATTGCTGTTTACTAAAAACAGGAACAAAATATTTTCAGTTTCACTTTAACGCCTTCATCTCTGCCATGCTCTATGGATTCCTGCCACCAAATACCTGCCACTTACATAGCAATTTATGGGGGGAGGTTTCTGCTGCCCCATACATTATGGTCTCTCTGTGCAGCCCCAATAACATAGAGGGGATTCAAAGGTACTGCAAGTGGTCAGGGGAGATATCCACAGCATAGGAACAGTGTAGAGCTGACAAAATTGGCTCCACACGATCCGCCTTCCAAGGCATGGCTGAGAGGGTGAGTCGGGGTGGAGCTAAAGGTACAGGACAGAGTCAGATTCTATATTTTCAAGCTAGGATAGAGACAGGTTAATAATTTATTACAAATGGTTTGACAAGCTGTACCTCTGTTTCTGCTCTCAAAATGACTGCGAAGAGACGGCTTTTTCTTCAGATTTGTTGTTGTTTGAAATTTTTTGCCAAATAATTTGTCCCAGTAATTTTTGGTCTGTATCTCTTGCTTATGAATAGTTCATTACAAGTGCTTGACAGTCAACATTTGAAAATGAAACAGCTGCAATTGGAGAGATCACCTGGGCCCAGGTCCTCAAAGATGCCTCTAATGATTCCAATATTTACTTAAAATTGATTTCCCCTACCTCCCAGGCACGTTCACTAGAGTATTTGAATGAAAGGAACAAAAAAAAGTGCAAGCAAATTTGTTTGAAAATTCAGTTTAGGCCTTGATCCTGCAAGTCAGTCAACACTAGATTTTAATGAGGTGGCACAAGTGCTAAGGTCTGATTGTGCAGAGCAATTTGATGGATATTGGTGGATTCATTTTTTCCAGTACTTGCCAAACTCTATGACCTGATCTTCCAAACATGCTCAACCTTACTCACATGACCGGATGCACTGACTTACCAGGGACCCTTTGGAAGGGCCAGATTTACAAAGATATTTAAGCACCTAAAGATGCAGATAGTTGCCTAGTGGGATTTTCAAAAGCAACCTAAGCCCCATTGATTTGACTAGGAGTTTGTGTCCCAAGAACCTCTAGATGGCAACTGGCAGAGGGTACAGGGTTGTATAGGGGTCCCCTGGGTTCACCAAAAGAATGCCATGTAAGGCTTCTAATGAAAGCCTGTGTCATGCTGCTCATCATGACCATATGTACGTATGGATGTTGAGTAAGGAGTTGTGTATATATACTGAAAATTATGTTGTTACACTCTTGACTAGGGACTGGTCACCAGAAAGGGAAAAACCATGTTTTCTTTCAGGCATGAAATGTTTATTTATCTGTCTGTTTACATGTAAATTACATATTGTATGGTTCACAATGGGCCTCCATCAATAGTCTCAGCTGAATGCTAATGGAGGATTGAGAAATCTTCAAAGAGAGGAAATTTACAGAATAAAGTGAACCAGCAGGGGAGAGCCCTGTTTACAAGTAAGGACAATTAACTTTTGGGGGTATAACAAAGGGATGCGGAGATGTACCCTCATTCCAGCAGGAGAGTGAGTTTGTGTGTGGGAGGGGGGGGAGGGGGAGGGTGAGAAAACCTGGATTTGTGCTGGAAATGGCCCAACTTGATTATCATACACATTGTAAGGAGAGTGATCACTTTAGATAAGCTATTACCAGCAGGAGAGTGGGGTGGGAGGAGGTATTGTTTCATGGTCTCTGTGTATATAATGTCTTCTGCAGTTTCCACAGTATGCATCCAATGAAGTGAGCTGTAGCTCACGAAAGCTTATGCTCAAATAAATTGGTTAGTCTCTAAGGTGCCACAAGTACTCCTTTTCTTTTTGCGAATACAGACTAACACGGCTGTTACTCTGAAACCCTCATTCCTTCAACCTGTGAGGACAATATGCCAGTGGGCTTGATCTGATGAGAAGAAGTCTTAGCCAAACTGGAGAAAACCCTGGAGAAAGAACTTTGGGTAAGCTATCTTTAGGAGGTGGAGGAATACTTAGTTAGTTAAGCTTAGTCGCTAGAATGCGTGTTATGATTTTGTTTTATCTGTAACCATTTGTTTCCCTTATTCTCACTCTCTATCACTTGAATCTCTGTTCTTTGATAATAAATTTATTCTTGTTCCCACTAATCTAATCTATCTAAATGCTGTGTGTTAAGTAAAGCAGGGACTCTGAGCTGATGCTTACAAGATGGTGTGTGCTATTCCTTTGGGAACAGCCGATCTAGTTCTGTGCGTGTTCAAAGGAATAGGGCATGCTTGCAGGACTCGGGGATTGGTGTGTGCCTGTCACTGCTTCTACAGATAGTGAGGCCTGGAAAGCAGCGGTTGTGCTGCCAGAGGCTGGTGGTTTCAGGGAGCTGACCCAGAGCAGGCACAGACAAGACTTCCTCACGCAAAGGGCTGGTGCCTCCCAACCTTGGGTGCCCCGGGAAGCATCACACATTTAGGTGCCTAACTTGTTTAGACAATTCTGTAAATTCCAGGTGATGCCTATCTATAACTTTAGGCATTGAGATACCATTGGAAATCTGGCCCAAAGGGCTTATATTTCCTCAGGTCTATTTTTAGTTTTTTGGGGCTTTTTCCCCATCTGTCTGGCAGGAATATTTCTAAGGTGCTTCTTATCATTGTTCCCCTCTATAATTTTCTTTCCTTTACTTTTTTCTGTCTCTCTCTCTGTGTGCCAAGTGTTTCTAAATGTAAGCACTGAAATGCTTTGCTGAATCAGGTCCTTAGGCCTTTTCTTTTCTAGTGCTCCTTACTATCTAGTAAGTGTCCCGCTCCAGTGGTATCTTACTTTATGAACCATTTAACACTAGTTTTGGAGCTGTCCCTCCCTCCCCAGTGATTTGGAAACAGCTGAGACATTGCTTCTTCTGACTGGCAATAGCTCACTCCTCCCTGAACAGTAGTAATATTTGACGCTGATATGCTTTACATCTTCAAAGCACTGTGCAAAATTAGCTAATTAAGGCTAACAATGCCTTTGTGGTGCAGGGAGAGTAAGGAGCAGTATCTTTTTTGCAGATCGGGAAACTAAGAAACAAAGACATTAAGGCCACAACGTTCAAATTTGGGTGGCGGAGTCCTTCTGGATGCCTAAGCTAGTTAACTGCTCCATGGCCTCTCCGGCTGCACCACTGCTACAGAAAGGCCCTGAAGCCATTGTTGTCTGGATGGTCACCACTGTCAGATCACCTCAGTGTATGTCATGATCTTCCAGTGAGATAGTCTCATATGCTCGCTTTGCCCCTGCAGCTGGATAAGGGGGTGTCGCTGGGGCCTTCTGACAGTCCCTCACTGTTGTTACAGATGCTTGGAACCACCGGGGGCTGGCTATAATTCGAACCCCTTTTTTCCCACCCCCAATCCTGCAGCCCGGCAGCGGAGGGGCCACAAGAGCACTTACAGCCACCTCGACATCCCCTTCCTGAAATGTGCTTGGCCACAGTGAGGGATCAGGGCCTAAAAGTCACCCAGGACTGTAGGTGCTCAGCACAACCGATAATCATACCATGCTTAAATTAGATGCCTAGAGATGGATTCAAGTGCCTATATTTAGGCACCCAAATTTTGAAAATTTTGGTCTAAGTGACTTTCTCAAGGCCACATAGTAAGTCAATGGCAGAGCCAGGATAACAAGCCAGGTGTTCTTGCCTCTTAGTCCTGTGCTTTACCTATTAAATCATGCTCCTTTCTGCTTTCACCATTCTCTACATGGGTGAGAGGTGAGGAGAGGACTGATAACAAAATTCTGGTCCCAACAAAAACTGGAAGACTAGATTATTGATAAATGACCCTCAAGGGGCTTGGATGAGTTCACATGAGTACTCACCTTTACCCGTTATGTTTGGAGCTGTACAAACCCAGAACAAAGAAACTGCTCCTGCCCCCCAAAGAGCTTACAATCTAAGTGGTCAAATTCAAACCAAATGGTGGGCAAAGATTTGGGTCTGTTCTTTTTTTAATTTGAACTCTGAACTCATTCTTTGTTCTCATGGGGGTAAGTCAAAAGAGATCTCCCTTTCTCCATTTCTTTCAGATTGTAAGCTCTTCAGAACACGGACTGAGTCCTATCTTTGTACAGAACCTAGCACGTTTTGGTCACTACTGCAACACAAATAATAACAATAATTCCAACTGGGAATAAGAAAAATAAGTAGATCAAACTAGGTCTGATTAGATAAGTTAAGCAGAGTGGGCAGATCAGTGATGTCCCTTACACCAGAGGGTGTTCCCAGCTAACTGCCCTTTATTTTTTACCTTTGAAAGCTGTGCTAATGCTCTTACCTGGTATAAGGGGTGGGATGTGTATTGCAGGTGTATCTTTTCTCCTGGGTTTTTTCTGTTCCTGATCAGTAAGCTGAGAGACTGAACTCACTTTGCCCGTCTGTGGTTTTTTTGCGATGTCACACCTTTTAATTAAATGTTCTGAAAAGTCTGAGAGCATGCCTGCAGAGAACCATACACAATAAATATTACTTAAGCCTCATCTACACTGATAAAAATTGCACTCATCTAACTTAATATACTCAGGGTATGCTTACAGTACAGTGGCACAACTATGGTGCTGGAGCGGGCCACTGTAGTGCCGTAGTGTAGACACTTGCTACAGTGAGGGAAGAGTTTTTTCCATCTATGTAGTTAATCCATCTCCTTAAGAGGCGGTAGCTAGGTTGACGGAAGAATTCTTCTGTCAACCTAGTTGGGTCCACAGGGGGTTCTAGTTGGCTTAACTACATGTCTCAGGGGTGTGAATTTTTCATACATTTCAACACTGAGTGCTTTTGAGAATCCTATTCTCCCTCCCTGCCATAGGTAGGCACACAAAGATGTAGGAGAATTGAGGGCAGAAATATTTTTATTCAATTCCTAGTAAATACAAGTAAACCAGGAAACATCAGAGGTTTGTCAGATTTCAGTATTACTAAGCTGTGTTACCTGGTATAGGTGGTGGGGTGTGTAATGCAGGTGTATCTTTTCTCCTCGGCTTTTTCTGTTCCAGCTCGCTGTTCTGGGAAGCCTGGATATTTTTACCCTTTCTTGGTTTCTTTTTGAGGTCACAATTCTTAATCAACTGTTCTGAAAGGTCATCTGCGTGGGGGGGAAAAAAATACCTAGCTGATAGAAAATTATGAATCTCAGAATTAAACGAAGGGCTCGCTTTAATAACAATACTTCCACCCTAGTTGGTTAAAACACAAAGTATATTCACCTCTGTACAGAAGGCCATCACAAAGGCCTTAATACCACTAAAAACAGGGCATAAGTGAGACTTAAGTGCCTTATGCTGGCCTTAGAGAATTAAACCTCACAGTGAAGAAGGGAAGAATTATACCCATATTATAGAGTGACACAGATGTTAAAGCTAATATTTTCATTCTTAGACGCCATATTTAGACACCTAAATAATAGGACTAATTTTAAGAGGTCCTCTGTAACCACAGCTCCCATTGACTTTGGTGGAGTTACTCTGGATTTGCACCAGTGTATATTGAAGCAGGACTTGACTCATCAGATAGTCTAGGTACATTCTAGACAGTTATCCAAATTTCTGGATGCGTAGTCAAGCTCAACAAATTGAGTCTTTTGAGGTTGACCCATCACTAATAATATCACGCAAACCAGAGATTTGGTTTTTAAATTTGGCTTTGGTTGGGTTTGTCAGCTTTGCTTTTCATTTGGAAACTTTGCTTAACAAAAGGGGCCTGATTCTGATTTCACTTCCTAGATTTCACACCATCGTACTTCCATGGACTAGTGAAAGGAAGGATGAATGACTTTATGATTAAGGCACTGCACTGGTACTCAGAAGTTTTGGATTCAATGCACAGCTGTGCCACAGACTTCCCATGTGATCTTGAGTAAAATAATTTATTCCTGTGTGCCTCAGTTCCACACCAGTAAAATGGGGATAATAGTGCTTCCTTTCTCCCATCTTTTGTCTGTTTTGTCTATTTAGATGGTAAGTTCTTCAGAAGAGAGAAATTTTTTATTTTGTGTTTATAAAGCCCCTACCATAAAAGAATCCTGAACTGGGTTGGGAACTCAGGTGCGTCCAGTGTGAAATCACGCTCAAGACTCAGATATCTTGGTTGTGTGTGAGTAAAGCAGGCTTGCAAAATTATCCTTGCCTGGGACAAATAAAATATCATTTGTATTTCATTATTATCACCAGTGTATGGGTAGGCAAGTAGATTTTTGTGCCTGGGTTAGCAAATCTTCATGACAATTTTGGAAGGCTGGAATAAAGTAATGACATGTGAAGCAAAGGCGAATATGCAAAATACAAAAATATGCAAAAGGCACATCTATCAAAGTCTTGAAAGCCTCATATTTAGAAGCATGTATGAGCAGAGATGCCTCTCGTACTCCAAGAGCAAAAGTTATATAAAAAGTCAGCTCTAGAAAGGACATGGATTGACAATAAAGGGAAAAAAAATAAAATTCTGTGCAAATATAGGCAAAAGGAATATTTAAAATCTTTTACTGAAATTGCACATAGAAAGTGGGTGTAGTAAAGGCTCAGATATATCTTAGCTTCCAGTTTATTATTGTATAATCGATAAAAGCGCTTCTCTTTCTCTGTCACGAAAAGGAACAATGACTCTTTCTCCTTTCCTCTCTTTAATTAATTTCCTTCTCGAGCTTCAGCTAATATTATGTGCAGGAAAGACACCCTTTGCCTGTCCATCTGGCAACAGATGTGTTACCAGAAGGCACAGTCTATCGGGTTTCACGAGGGCTCAGTTGTATCTCTTGGAAAGAAAAAGCCAATGGACAGTACTTAATGATGTAAAGAAGACACCTCTCTAATTACAAGTCACTGACATCACCATAAGAAGAAAAGGAGTACTTGTGGCACCTTAGAGATTAACATCACCATAATAACACTTACCTAAACGGTTGCAGTGTGAGTCTCGCTTGTCCAATCTGTCTTCTGGGATATCAAGTGGTTGCACATATTCAGTTGACATCATTGAAAAGTTTTTCTTTCTTGAAGCTACAACACCAAAAAGCAGCACATAATAAAACAGATATATTTATATTCTGTCCAATCAGTTCCTTCCAACCAGCCCTGGGAAGTTCCTGTTTTCAAAGTGATTTTTGCCATACAGCCACTGCTGGCCTGGCTGTTCTTGGAGTGCTTGTGAGCTGTATGGGCTAACTGCCTTCTGACCCCAACTCCCCACTCCCACTGATGAATGCAAAGCTGCAGATTCTAAAGCAACATCTGCCAGCCTAAAAAGGAGCAGGCCAGATGGGAGGGTTTTTAACAATTAGTTTTGAAGGAATCTATTTAAAGGGGCACAGTCAACTTGAAATCTAATTGTAAGTTAAAAATAGTTCCAGGTTCTATACCAGTCTCTGAGTCCCCCTGCTATTTGTTTTTGGTGTTAGTGTTAATGCTATTTATTCAGAGCAGTGGTTCTCAACCGGGGGTACGTGTACCAGTGTTCCCTCTCATTCTGCACATGGATAAGAAAAATTAATTTTGTTATGTGCACCAATATGGAGGTGATGTGTGGCGGGGGTGGGGCTGAGGGGTTTGGAGTGTGGGAGGGGGCTCAGGGCTGGGGCAGAGGGTTGGGGTGCAGGGGGGTGAGGGTTCTGACTGGGGGTGCTGGCTCTGGGGTGGGGCTGGGGATGAGAGCTTTGGGGTGCAGGCTGCCCAGGGCTGCGGCAGGGAGAGAGAACTCCCCACAGCCCTCTCTCCCCACAACAGCATCTGGGCTGGGGGAGAGGCGTCTTGCCCCACCGCAGCCCCAGGCTGAGGGTGAAAGGCCTCTCTCCTCACTGCGCCACAGCCCCAGGGCTGGGGAGTTGCCGCAGCCCTGCATGCCCCAAGCTTCCCCATCACCACTCCCCACTTCACCCCCTACCTCACCCCATGCCCAAGTGCACTGTGCATGCCTGCACGGCCGTTGGTGGCCTCCTGCACAGCCGTGCAGGCGCACACCTTAGATGGACCCTAGATGTGTACCCCTGGGGGTAAGCAGGGGTTTTCCAGGGGGTACATCAACTCGTCTAGATATTTGCCTAGTTTTACAACAGGCTACATAAAAAGCACTAGCAAAGTCAGTACAAACTAAAATTTCATACAGACAATGACTTGTTTATACTGCTTTGTATACTATACACTGAAATGTAAGTACAATATTTCTATTCAAATTCATTTATTTTACAATTATATGGTAAAAATGAGAATGTAAGCCATTTTTCAGTAATACTATGCTGTGACCCTTTTTGTATTTTTATGTCTGATTTTGTTAGCAAGCAGTTTTTAAGTGAGGTGTAAGTGGGGGTACAGAAGACAAATCAGACTCCTGAAAGGGATACAGTAGTCTGGAAAGGTTGAGAGCCGTTAATTTAAAGCACTCATGCAAGGACCTGAACACCACTGTGGTAGGCACTGTAAATACTTATTATTTTGTGGGGGAGGAAGGTTGGTGGTTTTACAACAACATTTTCCTGTTTCTACAAATGATTTTCTCATTCACGTTGCTGCAACAGATCCACACTGACAGGGAAAACTGACTAACAAACAGCCTGTACAGGGGAAACAGTAACACTGACCATAGAGCAGGAAGCGCTGTCAAATGCACAAATTAAGCACAGTGGAAAAATAAATGAAAAACTGTGTGGTGTTTTGTTTTTTTTGTTTTTGTTGCTTCTCTAATCCCTTTCAGCTATAGCCATCTTAGGTGGTGTTTGTAACCACAGTAAAAATGTAGAAAGAAGTGTGACCGTTTCAAATCAATGGGGGGCCATTAACTTTTGGCAGGACAGAACTGGAAAACTGGAAACCATACATAATGATTACTATGTGACCCATTCAAACTTCGCACTTCTGGAGAGCCCCCGTGTGGCTACTAGTGATGAGGTTGACCCTTCAACCTTTTGAGGTTCGCCCATAGCTAGTCTCAATTTTAGAAAGCTGTAAAATCTTCGCAGGCGGCTTTGTGGTATCACAGACCAATAGGTTACTCTAAAAGAGATGAAGTGTAAATTTTTTCAAAGCATCTAGGTGCAATGATACTTAGAACGGAAAGCCACGCACAGTTTATCTGCACATAACTGAAGAATTCTAAATGTGCTTTCACAAAGCAATAACATAAAATTCACCCAAGAAGTGAATTATTGAATAATGTTCAAAAATTCTAGACAAGAAAGATGTGAGGATAATTAATTTCCTTTTTGAAATGGAAGCACATATTTTCTGGAGCTCATATTTTAGCATCTTGAATGCAGCTCTTTTTCAGCTGACCAACATGCTATGACATTCTGCATTCTCTGCTTGATATCAGTCATCTTTTAAGGAAATTATTGTACATGATGGATTAAGATAGATATGTATGTAGAGATAATGGGCCACATTCATCCTTTGTGCAACTTTAGTGATTTCAGCAGAGTTGTAGGAGGGATTAATTTGGCTCAGTGTGAGACATTTTCTGCATGAATGCAGAGTTTTGCATAAGAATTAGGATTGTGAAAGAATTTAGACTGACACTTCTGGGCCGGAAGGGTTACCTAGATTCTCATTCCTTGGGTTAGCAAAGGCTGAAACCGGGCAGGGCTGAGGTGGGTGGGGAGTGGGGCATTCACAGTGCTCTCTTTTAGCTATTAATGAGTTCCAGTTTTGGAGCAGGTTGGCTATTTGTTGCTAATTGTGAAAGCACATGGCATAACATTTTAATGGCTGTCCTTATGGATGGGGAGGATTGGGGAATGGCCGGAGAGACTGAAAAAAACAGTGACTCTGGGTAGATTACTAAAGGCCATCCAGTTCCTCTCAGGATTAGCTCACCAGCTGAGTCACGGCCATGTGATAGTTCAAATCCTTTTGGCCTTCATATGTCCAGGGGATGGAAAGGCAGATGAAGAATACCTGGAACATCTCACCCGCTAACAGCTTCTTTGGCGTCAGTAAATTGCTAAACAGTGCAAGGCGAACACAGCAAAAATGAGGCAATCCTTTTGACCAGGAATTTGACTCACTGGATGACTTTATTAAAACACCTTAAAGTACATATACAGATGTTCCAGATGCATTCTTTTACCACAAAGAAAACATCTACACTTTCTACAAAAAAAAGACAACAAAAAACCCCCCACCCTCTTGGCAGTAACTGATTAATTGCCAAAATTGAAAGGTTTTAATGTTATACAGGAACTCCTCACTTAATGTTGTCCCAGTTAACATGGTTTTGTTGTTACGTTGCTGATCAATTAGGGAACATGCTCGTTTAAAGTTGTGCAATGCTCCCTTATAATGTTGTTTGGCAGCCACCTGCTTTCTCCACTGCTTGCAGAAAGAGCAGCCCATTGCAGCTAGCTGGTGGGGGCTTGGAACCAGGGTGGACTGGCAGCCCCCCAGCAGCTCCCCATGTAGCAGCCGCCCAGCAGGCTATCAATTGCCCGGCAGTTCAGCTGTCCCACCCCCCACTGCCATGTGCTGCTCCTGCCCTCTGCCTTGGAGCTGCTCCTGGGAGCCTCCTGCTTGCTGTGCTAATGTCAGGGTGTCCCCTTGCCCCCCACTTCTGCCCCCCACTCCTTTACCCTATCTCCATAGAGCGTGGGGGGAGGGGAATATGACAGGGCTCAGGACAGAGGGAGCTTGCTGGCAGCAGCTGCTGTCTCAGCTTGCTGATCTACTTAAAAAGGCAATGTACTTAGACTGGGGTCAGCTACTTAAAGGGGCAATGCACATCTCTCTCTCTCTCTCTCTCTCACACTCACACACACACACTCGGTGTGTGTCTTTGTCTCTCTCTGCCATGCTGTCTCCCCTCCCTCCATTCGTGCTGTCTTCTAGAGTGTGAGGCTACATTAACAACAATGTGTTAACCCTGGGGGGGCTCAGCCGAGTGCGAGTTCATCATTTAGCAGTAAGGCATCCCCTGGGAAATATTCCACCCTCTGACTTCACCACCTCAACCAAGCTTCACAATCATCATTGCTGTATACGGTATTAAATTGTTTGTTTAAAACTTATACTGTATATGTGTATGTGTATATATATATATATACACAATATAGTCTTTTGTCTGGCGAAAAAAATTTCCGTGGAACCTAACCCCCCCCCCATTTACATTAATTCTGATGGGGAAATTGGATTAGCTTAACATTGTTTCGCTTAAAGTAGCATTTTTCAGGAACATAACTACAACGTTAAGCGAGAAGTTACTGTATTGAAAATCATCTTCCATTGAAGTTTAGTTCAGTTTTCAATTAGATAAGAGTATTTTACATAGATGGGGCAAAGAAAGCAGTTTTTTAAAATCTAGATTTGGTTTAGCTCAGGTTTTAAGTTTAGGTCATAGGCAGGCTAGGGTTTTGGGTTAGATTCAAGAGAGCTGTTCTCACAGATTTCTGCCTAAATTGATGGGAATCTTGTGAAATTAACACTCCTGGACTAAAATCTCATGAGGAAAACCTGTCTGTTTGAGATTTTTACCACATCTGAAACGAAATTAAAAAAAATAGGCCTTGGTCACATTTTGATTCTGACGTAGGACTAAAACTGTAGCGGTAGCTTTGGATTCATGAAGGAGGGGATGGTGGGTTGTGTGTCAAATATGAAGGCCTCTTTAAATGAAATTTGAAGGTTTGGGGATTTGAGGTTTTATTACTAGCCTATTGCTGCTTTTATTAACGTTATAAAACGTGTTACCGCATAAAGAAAGCTAAAAGTGCACCTGTACCTCTTAATAACTGATTAGCAGCAGTTACCTTACAAAATAAGTAATAACTAGGTCATTTGGGGCCTAGCTTTTAAAGACAGTCATGCATGATTGCATATGCCCAATTGCCTTGCCATCTGCCTGAGTGTACAAACAAAATAATGTTTGTGCACAGAGTTGTCTAAGTGGACAACGTGCATATTGAATTCTGCTATTTTCATGCTTAATTGCACAGGCCCACCTTTCAAAATCATGCCCTTAAGTTCCATCACAATTACATATGCTTAAAACTGGTTGAGACTTTCTTTTACTATAACTGCATGAAGATTAAAAAGTTGCATAAGTAATAAATGACTGTTTAGTTGTCAGATGATACACCAGCAGGGCTATTCTTCGCTATGTGACTACCGTTGCAATTGCTATTAATGTTAACAGAAGCTAACCCCTGCTGAAATTGTAGATGACAATAGACCTTAGTGTTTCACATTAAGGGGACGTGATTTATTACAAATTTCTATTGCAAGCTTTCCATGCATAGGGTAGATTTACAAAATATATGTTGAAGCCTTGCAAGCTTTACCAAGGTGCGCCTTCTAATGGCTCAGTAGCGGACACATCTGTCACACAAGCCCCTGGATGGTCTATTCACCCAGAAGATGGTCTGAGCCCATAAGTAGTGTGGTCAGCAAGAAAAATAAGAGCAACACCCCCGCATGCAATCGTTGAAGAGACCTTTGAAACGTTGGCATGGATGGTGCATAAATAATAGCTGTTGAGAAGACTCTTTTGTTATATGGTGGTAAGTAATGCAGGTTAAATATGAATATTTATGCTGCTAGTTAATAAAAATGTTACCATAGAAATAGTTATAATGCACGGTACTTACATTTCCCCTGGACCCAGTGCACTTAATTAAAAATATACACATGCCAATAATTAATGTGAACTTTTGTATAGTATTTTAAAAGGAAAATGCTATTGACTTATAACCCCAAATATTCTTCTTCCCGTTTTACTTATAATGTTCTGAGGCAAGGACCGGGACTGCTTGTTTAGAGGACTGTGTGCCTGTTATTTTCTTAAAAAGAAAAGGAGTACTTGTGGCACCTTAGAGACTAACCAATTTATGTGAGCATGAGCTGTAGCTCACGAAAGCTCATGCTCAAATAAATTGGTTAGTCTCTAAGGTGCCACAAGTACTCCTTTTCTTTTTGAGAATACAGACTAACACAGCTGTTACTCTGAAACCTGTTATTTTCTTGTTTATTTTTTCCCTTCTTAGCAATCAAATTTCAATAAAAAGAAAAACAGGGTATGAGAGATTAAAGATCTGGCCCCCTCCTCAGGGGAATAGTGCCTTGGGCCCAATCCTGCTTCCACTGAAGCCAATGGAAAAATCTTCACTGATTTTAATGGGAGCAGAATCAGATCCTCTTATTTTGAGAGGACTGTTTGTGTGAGTAAGGGCCGCCAGCTACAGCCTTACATTTAGAGGTGGGATTGCAAGTGTGCACGAATGTGTTTGTGTTTATGCAAGTGAGCAGTGCTTTTCTAGCTGCTCTTGATGCACTACAGAGCTGCATGTGGTAACTATGAATATTTGATAGGGTGTTGCCCAATGGACATAGCAGTGAAGGGCTGCGCTACTTCAGTGGCAGGACGTGAATCGGACTGTGGGCAGGTCTGCACTTAAAAGGCTGCACGGGTGCGGCTGTGCTGTGCTGCTTAAGTGAAGATGCTCCAACGCTGACGGGAGAGCTTCTCCTGTTGGCGTACTTAGGGCTATTCCACACCGGAATCGCTACAGCGGCGCAGCTGTACCAACGTAGCCATAGCGCTGCGAATGCCGACGCTCTCTCCTCTTGGAGAGTACTCTCCCATGGGCAAAATTACTCCCCAAGTGGCAGTAGCTATGTCAGCGAGGGAGCTTCTCCCACCAACCTAGCGCTGTCCACACTACCGCTTACTTCGGTGTAACTTAAGTCGCTCAGGGATGTGAAAAAGCCACCCTCCTGAGTGACGTAAGTTACACTGAAGTAAACGCTCGTGTGTGCAAACCCTATTCCACCTCCCTGAGAGGTGGTAGCTATGTCAACGGGAGACGCCTTCCCACTGTCGCTTGGGGGTGTGGATTTTTCTGTAGTGTAGACCTGGCCTGTGACTTCAAGAATCACAAGCTGGTGCTTCTTCTCACCAAGGGGGAAATAAGCTGTGCCAGCCTTTTTGCTCGTGCTTCCCCTTCTCTGTCGACTCTCAGGTGGGGTAGGCAGAATTCTAACCCCTGCCTGCCTGTTGGCAGCTTCTCTCCCCTGCCCCCAATCCTTTGGAGGCTCTTACAATGTGGATTGCGCACCTGGGAGAGTGGGGAATCGCCTTAGTCCCCTCTATGGGAAAGCAAGAGGCCTTACGATTGAGCCCTAAAAAAGAGCCAGAGGCTCAGTTCATTCCTGTTTTGCACCTAGTGCAGCCATTTACATTTGTGCAAAGTGGGTGTAAAATGCTACCATTCTGGTACAATAGTGTTTTACACCTACTACGCACTCACTTAGCACAGCTGAAAATGACTATTCCAGGAGCAAGACAGTGGAGAATGGTCCATTCTCCTCTGATCAGAAGTCAAGAGTTGATTTCATTACTAGAGAGTGGGCTCTTTCTTCTATACCCCGATTATATTCTGCCACCTGCACAAGTAAGTCCTCTGGTAGGTTTTTGAATTAAGCACATTAAGATTAGAAAATGTATGCCACACACAAGGAGACTGACAGTTTTTTTTCAAGTGGTCTCAAAGTGAAATTCTTCACTGGCAGTTTGATCACTGTAGTTTTATACCACCTCATCAGAGTAACTTGCCTTTACTTGAGCCCTGATGGCATTATACAAAGTTTCTACTCCAGAGTTATAAGTCTCATTTAACCCTAGGTGGTTGTTTCCAAAAATTCCCACCAGGGTAGTCTGAATTTGTTTTTATAAAGCAAAGCCTCAAAATGTACCATGTCTATGATACATAATACCGCATGTGTTTAAAACCCGGACTGTGCATTCTTTGTCCACCCAGACCTCTGACAAATAACTCTGTGTGTTGCACTGAGCTCACAAAATTGATTTTGAACAGTCTGCCAAGTCCATGGAGAGACTCACACACGGGGATTTGGATCAGGCCCTGTAGTAGCAGAAGCTAAACTTGAATTAATGGCTCAAAAGCAGAATAAAATGTCTGAGTTTCTGTCCAAAAAAGTTGCTGTACTTAGAGATTACCGAACATGCCTGATTAATTCCCCGAGGAGCAAGACATACCCGACACATGCCATTTCTTTTTAGTTGGATAAAATCCTAATAATCTTTCATATTCTGACAATTTGTTCATGAAATAATGCAATTAAAATAAACTGACACATTTGTCTCCATAGCACTTCATCCGCCATTCCAGCTTTCCCGTTCACCCCTCAGTCTACTTCCAACTTTCCCCATATGGTATCCTATGTTTACTTCTTCTAAATCGATCCTGTGGAGTACTTGGAGTCCTGAACTTCACTGCGAGCTCAGCATCGGTATAGATAATACAGTCTACAGAAGTGCAACTAGAAAATATCAAATGACTGTAACTAACTTGATCCTGGTGACTACAGACTAACACGGCTGCTGCTCTGAAACCTGGCAAGAAAAAAATGGTTACTCAAGCAAAGGTAAAGTGCATGTGTGCAGACGTACTTACCGACCGGTGAAAGGCTCTGGGATGGGTGTGATACAGGGTCAGCACTCACTGAAGAAGGAACTTTCTTCACTGCGGCTGCTGTGTGCTCCTGCCCTCCTTATCTAGGGAGCAGCCGGGGCTGTTGCTATGGTAATGCTTTGTTTCAAGGGTACTCTGGGGAGAAAGGAAAAAAAAGAATAACCTTTAGCCTGTGCACTTAACAGATTTTTGATGATGTGATGGTTGCTGCTGTTTTTTTTTTAATTGGAACGAAGGGAAAAATAATTATGCAGAAATTAAAAAAAAAACGTTTACGGTTAAACAGCCTTTTATACCAGAGATCAAAGAAAATGATCCAAACATTTTGATGGAGGAATGAAAGGAATGAAACAGGGGATGGTAAATCTTAAAGTGTACCAACTGGAAACAAAATCAGAGAGACAGCAGCTGTGGCAAGAGTCACTGAGGAAGCAGACGAGAGAGCGCTAGACTGTTGTTTGGTGTCATACAGAGCTGTGCAGTGGATGAAAAAGGAGCGAGGAGGCAGGCCCATAAACATTAAGCCTCCAGCAGTGAGGTTTAGCTGAGGACTGCGGTGTTTGTGTGCATATGTGGCCTTGACTCATTACACAAGCTTGACACACTGATGTCATTTAGGGGGTCAGGCAGGGAGTCTTCTGTGGCTGCTGTATCCTTGCCAGCAGTGCCCAGTCTCTGCTATTTTAGCCCATTGCGTTAGATGGGACTGTTATTTGGAAGGAGGAAAAATATATAAACATGCCTGATCTTTGGAAAATCAAGACGAAGCACTCTGTTCAGTTGACGGTATTATGAATTGCACCCTTTTTAGCATTCATCCCCATATGAAAAAGTCTTCCCCCAGCTCCTTTCATTAAAACGTTCTATAAAACTGGGACTGGTGACAGTTGGTTTGTCACACTTGGACTGTCATTCCCATGCTGTCACTATGGCATTGCAACATATGGTTTAAATTAGTCTTGTTTTCTTTCATACAATAGAAAGCGAGTGTGCCAAGGGCCCAAATATGTTCGGTGCTAGCTCCCAGTCCTGGGATTTGCTGAGCACCCTCATCGTCTGTGAAATTCAAGTCCAGTCCCTCAAGGTGTTGAACACTTTTGATTCTCTAAGGGCCTCTTTCTGTACCCATTGAGATGAGATTTCCTAGTGACTTCACTGGGAGAGATGGGCATTTATCCCAGGACTATGGAGGGTGAACATTTTCAAAAGCGCCTAAGTGACTTAGGATCCCTAAGTCCCATTTTTCAGAAGTGGGTTAGGCACTTGGGATCCCAAGTCTCACGGAAAGTTAATGGGACTTAAATGCCCAAGTCACTTCTGAAAACGGGACTTAAATTCTCAAGTAGAGCTTGTTGGGGATTTTTCAACTAAACATTTTTTGTTGAAAAATGCCAATTGGTCCAATCCAAAACTGTGTGCAGCAAGGGGCCAGTTTTGATGAATTTCCCATTTCAAATTCAAAAAAAAGTTTCAACATTTTTGAAACATCCTATTTTGACATTTTCTAAATGAAAACAATTTCTGTTTTTCATGTCAGAATGACATCATTTAGGTACATTTTTAGTTGTGTGTTTTAAAGGGCATAGGTAAAAAGGAACATTTTAATTGACCTAAACTGACATTTTATGGATTTGAGATTTTTTTTCAAGATTTCAACTTTTTGTCTCAATTCAGGACAGGAAAATAGTTGGATAGCAATTCTTCCTGCCCAGGTCTACGTCTAATTCATTTAAATGCTTTTGAAAATGTTATCCAAAGCCCTTAACCAAGAGTTGTGGGTGTAAGAGAGGGCATCAAAGCCTATTAGCTTACTCACATTTGGTTAGAGCCTCAGCTGCTGTAAACCGGCATAGATGACATTACACCTGCTGAGAATCTGGCTTATTGTCAACCGAGAAACTTTTACACGAGCAGGGTGTGATGGCTGATATTATGCGGTTATGATGAAGGTATTATGAAGTTGCTGTATCATGAATGCCCCTCTGCATGTGCAGCTACCCTGAACAGGCATGGTTTGTGGCACATCTCTGCCAGATCAAGTCAATTATGAAGGGTTGTCAGCACATGAGTAAGTCTTACCTGAGGAGAACAAAAGAGTAACTGCATCTTAGGGGAGACTAGTTTTACTTAACCTCTCTGAGGAGAGGGGGAAAGCGGAGAGCAGCAATTTACCAGGAACAGAACAAAAGATGCTAGGTGACGAATTAGGTGTTTAAATAAGGATTCACAGGGCGAAAGAAGTGAGATGTTCAGAGAAAGTTTGGGAAGGAAGAAGGAAGGGCATAGATCAACCAAGAACAGAGGAGGTGAGCTGTGGGAAGAGACTATAGGTTTTGGAACTCCAGGCAAGCTCTGCAGCAGAAGGACCTGGACGGCCCCAGAGGACACTGACCCCTGCCCAAAGAATGCCCTGCAGTAGTGAGGAAATGAAGGTGGGGAAATGTGTATAGAGTTGGGTTTTTTTATATAGATCATGTGATTAAGTGAAGAGCAACAGCATGGTAGAATTCTATGCAGAATGTCTGTGTGCGGTATATGTTACACCTACCATGTTCCCCCTTGAAGAGGAAAACCAGAAGGCTCATACCTTTGGTGGGATTCTCAGAGAGGGTCCATTCAAGCTAACAGGGAGTCTTGGTTCCAGGGCCTGGGCAGGGGAACATGAGATTTCAGCTCTCAGGAGGGAGTGTCAGACAAGGGATCTACACTCCAAAGGTGTGCCCAGGGACCCCAAGATTGGGACAATGCCTGTACAGACTCTGGAGGCTTCAGACATTCAGGGATCCAGAGGCTGGGGATACCACTTCCGCAATCTGGTGGGCTGCCTCCATGGGGATCCTGACCAGATCAGTAGCACAGTGGGAGCAGGATTTGGCACCCCCAGATGCTACTCTCCTAAATGCCTCTATGTTTCTTGTTACCTGTTTGGAGAGCCATAAAGAGATTGAACTTTTCCAGTTCTGGAGAATTGTCTGTTTGATTATTCTGCAGGGAAAGATGGCCTGATACATTTGCTGAATAAATGGTAAATCTGTGCTTTGAACCTCCCCTTAATTAGCATGTGAGCACTCCCATTAATTTCTGTGGAACTACTCACGTGCTTAAAGTTAAGCGTGTGCTTAACTATTTGTAATGGTGAGGCCTAAAAAGACAAGCAACCTATGAGGAAAAAGGGAGTATGTAATAAACATTTATAATATATTTGCTATTTGGTTTTGGCTTGACTTGTAATTAAGGGTGAGATTTTCTAAGGCATAAAGGGTAGTTAGGATTCTGACTCCCATTTACTTTCCAAGGGAATTGGGCACCTATCTGCTCTTTGTCCTTTTAAAATCTCCTTCTTTACAAAAAAAAAAAAAAAATCACTTCCTGCAACTGCTCCCAAAGCCAAACGATAATACATTGGCTGATTTATTGAAGGCATCCTGGTACCAGTGGAACTGCTTGTCTTCTTCATAGTAGACATATACTCTGGTTTTGTAATGTAAGTTCACCTATCCATCGAACAGTGCTGTCATATGTAAGGAATGGCATGTTAATATGTTGCCATTGACAGCAACTTGTAAAAACTTTCCTGAATATAACTTTGTTTGCAGTGAACTCATTTTGCCTAATTTTGAATCTGCTCCAGCTCAGGGCCAGATTCTGATCTCATTTACACCTGTGTTAATCCAGAGTAACTCCTCTGAAGTCACTGGATATATACTGGTGGAACAAGAATCGGCTTTCTAAAGACTTGTAGGCTCATGTTTGTTAAAGAGAGATTTGGAATAAAGAAACCAGGAGAATGTGGAGAAGAAAGAATACGTATAATGAAAAAAATACAGAAGTGATCCAAAATGTGCAGTCATACTTGATTTAAACGGGTTTGTGCTGGTGTGAATGATAGCAGAATTTGGGCCAGCTGATACATGTGATATATATGGCACCCACTTGTGCCAATGTAGTTATATATGGTAGAATATATATGGGAAGGAGTGCATGGGGGGGAGGGGTATGCTTGTTTTTGGCTAGAATCACCCTTGCATTAAATTGAATTACCTCTCAGGTGGGCAAAATGCTTTGGATTAACACGTAAATGAGATTCATCAACTCAGCCCAGAGATGTGAGCCCTGCAAATGCAAGAAATAGCTTGTGAGGGCAGCAAAAACCTCAGACTCCAGGAGCCCTTGTAAAATGTGGTGGTCTGTGTTTTCTTATCCTCCACCCTTCTCCCCACACCATGGGTCCCAAATTAATTCCTGAAAAAGTTTTACTGAGGCCGGATTGCTGAGTTAATTCATTTTAAAATATGACGTCTCTTTTATGGACATTGTGGTCTGGAAAGAATGTCATGAATGCAGAGCTGGCTATGGAGCTTGCTCATGAGGAATGAACAGTGAACATGAGCATAGGCGAGAGGACAGTATGCGTGGGAAACATGAGGAGTTGTGGAGAAGGTATGCATGGGGATGAGGGGACAAGAGTTAAAGATAAGTTTCATACCATGGCGTATCTATCCACAGAAATCATAACTGTGGAATGCCCTCTCCAAAGAGAGGAGGATAATCGAGAACATCACTGCTGTGATGCACAAAATAAGACCTATTTTTAAAATAATGTTCCAACAGATACTCCATAATTCCTCAGATCTACTGCAGAAGATTATGAAGGGGATTTGAAAAACAACAACAACAAAAAGCAGTTTAAGTTACGTTGCAGAAAGAAGGAAGAAAAATGTTTCAATATGTCTGTCTGGGACTATAATTAGTTTCCTGATTTGAATATGTGCTCAGATATCATGGGGAGAGGAGGGTGGTACTTGTGATGCTGGCAGGCCAAATGCCAGCTCTTGGCCAGGCTACAGGCATTAGCTAAGAACTGACAAACTCATAGCTGGAGGCCAAATCTATTCGCCTTTGTGTTAATTTTGCTCAAAATAGGTATCAGTCTGATAAGAATGTATTTAGTGTTTAGACTCTATGAAATGCTTGTAAATTGCTGTGTGCATTAATCTCACTTGTAATGTCCATATTCCCTGCTATAAGAAAATACGTATGTTTTGCTTTATAACTTTGAAAATGTTTGCTCTGAACTTGTGAAACCAGGCATTGGAATCTCTTCCCCCTCCTCGCTGGCATAGGTGCTGGAAGTAGGGGTGCGGGAGGTGCTGCCGTACCCCGTCTTGAAGTGGATTCCAGCATATACAGGGTTTACAGTTTGGTTCAATGGCTCTCAGCACTCCTGCTATAAAAATTATTCCAGCACCTCTGCTCTCCCACCCATCAAAATTAGATGAGCCATCAAGAAATATAGCAATACGAAAGATTGGTTAATGGCCCTATTGCACCTGGGAAATGCTACATGCAAGGAAATTCATCCTGTGGACTTGGAAGCTGAATGAAGGAAATAAAACAAAGCCACAGGAAAATTTTCCATCTCTCTCTGCTGTTCGAACTCTGACAGGGCCAGAGACTCTAGACTGAAACCAGAGATTTCAATGGGTCGGCCCTGAAGGACACTTTGAATTGACAGATCACAGAACTCTGTCACTGTTAGGATTTAGATGATAACTAATTTGTGT